TGTCCTCGTAAAGCACCTGCTCAACCTGGGTTTCATAATAAACACAGAGAAGAGCAGGTTGTGCCCTGCGCAGACTATACTCTTCCTGGGTTTACGCCTGAACTCGGTGCCCTTTTCAGCTCGCTTGTCAGCGGATAGAGTGAAAGCTTTCAGAGCTTGTCTCGCTCTTTTCCAGCTGCGCAAACATGTTCTCTTCAGATCATGCCTGCGATTGCTGGGGCTCATGGTGGCTCATGCTGGCACTCTCCGCGCGCCATGGCGCGCGGAGAGTGATGGTTACTGTGAAATGCGTAATGGCACTGCGCCACTGGCTGCACCCGACTTTTCTAGTACGAGGTGTGCCTATGGGTGCTGTGCTGTCCTTTCACGGAAAGTGGTCACCACGGACGCATGTCTGACAGGTTGGGGAGGTATTTATGAAGGTCGCCCGGTGAAAGGTCTCTGGAGCAGAGACCTCCAGCGGGCGCACATAAATTACCTGGAGCTTTTAGCGGTGTTTCTCACCCTAAAACGCTTTCTGCCTTTCTTCAGGGGACATCACGTCCTTGTGAGGACAGACAATACGACCACAATATCGTATATTAACCGCCAAGGGGGTTTGCGTTCTCTCCAGTTACACACACTGGCGCGCAAACTGATCCTATTGAGCGGTAGACGTCTCCTCTCTCTGAGAGCGACGCACGTACCGGGAGTGATGAACCTCGGAGCAGATCTACTGTCCAGAGGTATACCACTTTATGCAGACTGGACTCTACATCCAAGGATTGTGAGCCAGCTGTGGGTGCGTTACGGCAGAGCCGCGGTGGATCTGTTCGCATCGAAAGACAATGCTCAGTGTCAGCTGTTCTTTTCGATGCGCGATCTAAATGCACCGTTAGGCGTGGATGCACTCGCACACGATTGGCCCCCGGGCCTTCTGTACGCGTTCCCACCCCTGGCTCTGATACCCCCAACTCTGGCCAGAGTGAGAGAGCAACGCCACACACTTATCCTGATAGCTCCGCACTGGCCAGCTATGTACTGGCTAGCGGAGATATATCAGCTGCTGTGCGGGCAGCCATGGCAGCTCCCACTACGCAGGGACATACTGTCCCAAGCGGGGGGGGCGATCTTTCACCCACACCCAGAGCGCTTGGCTCTATGGGCCTGGCCCGTGAGTGGTACAATCTGAATACAGTGTGACATGAAGCTGACCCTGGCAGCTGCCAAGCGAGCCAGTGGCACTCATGCACTATCTGTACAGTCTTCATGCACTCAGTTCGCCCCAGGGCAAACAGAGTGTGGTTGAAGCCCAACCCTGCCTTTATCTTAAGGCGGTTGGTTCAGGTACCACATTTGACATTGAGGCATCCTCCCCGCCACTGTATTCCTCCGGGGAACAGCGGCCGGATTTGCCGTGTCCAGCCCGTGCTTTACGCACGTACAGGGACAGATCAAGGGTGCTTCGTCATAATGACCAACCCCTTGTGTCCTGGGCTAACCCTTATAAGGGCAAGCCTGTTACTAAGCAACGGCTCTCCCACTGGTTTGTGGAAGCAATTGCTTTGGGGCTTATACGAGTCAGAGTTCGCAGGCACCCTCGGGTCCGCAAACTCTTTCGACTCAGGGTCTGGCTGCATCCTGGGCTCTGTCCAGGATGTCTCCCATCCAAGACATTGGTGCAGCGGCGAGCTGGTCCTCGCCGCTCACTTTTGTCCGCCTCTTAACAGGCTGGACGTTCTGCTCCCAGTGTGACTCAAGCAGTGCTGGGCACCTGGTTGAGTCAGAGCTCTACCTGTTAAGTTCTGGTTGGTTTGGTGATTTTCGAGATAAGCTCGTCTGACAATACGGGAGCTACAATTTCCCATAGTGAGACATCGAACGGAGTGTTATGAATGAGAACTATAGGTTACTTACGTAACCCCAGTTCTCAGAGTAACATGAAGTGAGATGTCTCACCAGACGGCCCTCCTTGCTATGGTGAAGCGAGAAGAGGTGCTTATTTTGAATGACGCATGCGTCGTGGCGCAAGCTACTTATAGGGGGTGAATTCCCTGACGCTGACGTCAAGATCACCAGCCAATCAGGATTGGCGTAATGAGATTGATGCTTCTGTTTGCTCCGCGATGAGGCGCATCCCATAGTGAGACATCTCACTTCATGTTACTTTGAGAACTGGGGTTACGTAAGTAACCTATAGTTTTCAAGCACAGTAAATATTTTCTTCCCAGAGTATATGATGGGATCAAAGTGATGATTTAGTACATGGCTTTAATAATACTTTTGCTTTTCAATGTTTGCCATTTCAAACCATGAGCTGGTTTAAATAATATGTGCCTTGATTTACAATATGTTCTCATTTGTTTTATCAGTACAGTTTTGAAGCTTTTGTGCTTTTCTTTGCCATAGTCCACTTTGGACGATATGATATATTTCAGGATTGCACTTTTAACTCACTTGAAATGTTCTCACTTGCTTGGTTTGAAAACATAACAAATGCCATAATCTGTTCATTGGGGACCATCAATGCTATTTTTCATTGCTGTTGCCGGCCACTATTGCTCATATAAACCTACTACTGATGCGCCCCCTGTAATCTCAGAGGCACCCTGAGTCATTTTGTTCTGGAACCGGGCCTGTACATGGCCATATACTAAACAAACTACAGAGCCCATTCCGTGTTCTGTTATTGTTTACTTCCTGTCTGCCTTCTTCTGGTGATTTATCTGACGTCCAGTGCTCCGTCTTTTAACCTCTTTTCCTTTCTCTTTCTTGATCCTCCTTAGCAACCTTCATTATAGTCATTGACAGTGATCTGTACTGTATTAACAACGTGTCACGTGTTAAGAATTAACAATCAGAATCGAGTATTCAACTAAGCCGTGTAATACAAGTTGTTAGTAGCCTTAAGAGCCTACACAGTTGTTATGCTATAGCACATTGCCCTTCACTGGATGTATAATGAGCTGCACTAAACTACATTTCAGCATTTAAAATACCTAGCCATTCTTTTGCGGTTATTTTGGTGAAAGTAACTCAAAAGTAACTCAAAAGTAGTGTAACTCATTACATTTCAGAGACAGTAATATTGTCCATCCATCCATCTTCTCCCGCTTATCCGTGGTCGGGTCGCGGGGGTAGCAGTTCCAGCAGAGAGCCCCAAACTTCCTTTTCCCTGGCGACATCAACCAGCTCTGACTGGGGGATCCCAAGGCGCTCCCAGGCCAGCGAAGAGATATCATCCCTCCACCTGGTCCTAGGTTTACCCCTTGGTCTCTTCCCAGCTGGACGTGCCTGGAACACCTCCCTAGGGAGGCGCCCAGGTGGCATCCTAACTAGGTGCCCGAACCACCTCAACTGGCTCCTTTCAACGCAAAGGAGGAGCGGCTCAACTCGAGTCCCTCCCGGATGACCGAACTTCTCACCTTATCCCTAAGGGAGACACCAGCCACCCTGCGGAGAAAACCCATCTCGGCCGCTTGTATCCGCGATCTCGTTCTTTCGGTCATGACCCATCCTTCATGACCATAGGTGAGGGTAGGAACGAAAATGGCCCGGTAGACAGAGAGCTTTGCCTTCTGGCTCAGCTCCCTTTTCGTCACAACGGTGCGGTAAAGCGACTGCAGTACCGCTCCCGCTGCTCCGATTCTCCGGCCCATCTCACGCTCCATTGTTCCCTCACTCGAGAACAAGACCCTGAGATACTTGAACTCCTTCACTTGGGGTAAGGACTCATTCCCTACTTGGAGTGGACAGTCCATCGGTTTCCTGCTGAGAACCATGGCCTCAGATTTGGTGGTGCTGATCCTCATCCCAGCCGCTTCACACTCGGTTGCGAACCGATCCAGTGAGTGCTGAAGGTCGCAGACCGATGAAGCCATCAGAACCACATCATCTGCAAAAAGCAGTGGTGCAATCCTTAATCCATCGAACTGCAGACCCCCTCCCCCATGACTACGCCTCGAAATCCGATCCATGTATATTACAAACAGGATTGGTGACAAAGCGCAGCCCTGGCGGAGGCCAACCCTCACCGGAAATGGGTTCGACTTACTGCCGAGGACCCGGACACAGCTCTCGCTTTGGGAGTACAGAGATTGGATGGCCCTGAGTAGAGACCCCATCACCCCATACTCCCGCAGCACCTCCCAGAGTAACTCCCTGGGAACCCGGTCATACGCCTTCTCCAAGTCTACAAAACACATGTAGACCGGATAAGCGTACTCCCAGGCCCCCTCCAGGATCCTTGCGAGAGTAAAAAGCTGATCCGTCGTTCCACGACCAGGACGGAATCCGCATTGTTCCTCCTCAATCTGAGGTTCGACAATCGGCCTGACCCTCCTTTCGAGTACCTTAGAGTAAACTTTCCCGGGGAGGCTGAGTAGTGTGATGCCTCTGTAATTGGCACACACCCTCTGATCCCCCTTTTTAAAAAGGGGAACCACCACCCCGGTCTGCCACTCCTTCGGTACTGTTTCCGACTTCCACGCAATGTTGATGAGACGTGTCAACCATGACAGTCCCTCAACACCCAGAGCCTTCAACATTTCTGGGCGGATCTCATAATATTGTAATGTAACTTATTACTTTCAAAAGACAGTAAGTAATATGTAATATATTACATTTTGGAAGTAACTTGCCCAACACTGGTCTTAATATACATTTAAGCTGTCTTCTTCTGAATTTAAAACTAATAAAGATGCCTGGTGAACCACATTTTAATAATATACATTAAAGAATATAACGTTAAACTTTAGTTCAATATAAAGCTAGTAGCTAAAACATTAATCCAATCCAGGTAATTGCGATATTATATATAGTTCCAGTATGATGTTATTTCCCACCTTAGTCCATGTTACATTAAACCTATTAATATCTTTAAAGGGGATCTAAGAATGACAATGTTATGTTTGAAGCATGGAGCCACAAATGTTGCAAATAGGAGGTTCTGAAGCTAATTTCTTGTTGTACTTGTTCACAGTCATCCCTTCCTACTCCCAAGTTATCGGAGGTTTCAGGTGATGAGATTCGCTGTAGATGAAATCAATAACTCTACCAACCTTCTACCAAACGTATCTCTCGGCTATGAGATATTTGATCACTGCTCCTCTACACAGAGTTTTCCAGATGTTGTGAAACTCCTCTCAGTCAATAACTTGGTCCAACCATGGGATGAACCACATAACAATCTTTCCAGAATACTGGGAGTGGTCGGTCCTTATAGAAGCACCCAGGTCCTCGGGGATACATTTCAATGTATCTTATAATTGTGAAATAGGATTTAATGTTAATATGTCACTTCAAATGTTTTTCAGGTCAGTTATGCAGCTACTGTTTCTGTCTTTTCAAAAAAAGCAGTTTTTCCGTCTTTTCTACGAACAGTGCATTCCAACAAAATCGCCATAGAAGGGATTGTGAACATTCTAAAGCACTTCAACTGGCGCTGGGTTGCTTTTCTAAACAGTGATGATGATTATGGCAATGATGGCCTGGCGTTATTCATGAAGAAGATTAAGGATACTGAAATCTGCCTAGCATACAACAAAGGTCTGAATCAATATACAGACCACTCCCAAACATTTAAACAGATAGAGGCACAGAAGATAAACATCATTATTGTTTTTGCTCTAAAAATGACTGCTGAAGCTCTCATTAAGTCGGCAATACAACTGAATTTCACCAACAAAGTGTGGATCGCAGATGAGGAATGGTCCTTAAACAAGAATCTCCCAAAGATAAAAGGAATCAGAAATGTTGGAACTGTAATTGGGATTTCAGAACAAGCAGTGAACGTACCTGGTGTCAATGATTTTATCTATTCTTCAAGAAGACAAACTTATTGTGAAAATGCATCACAAAATATATATTGTAATCAGTTTTTCAACCGCAGCAGCCTGAGCACAGAAGACGTCGTTGCTGCAGACCCATCTTTTAATTTTCCTGTTTACACTGCTGTGTATGCCATCGCTCATGCCTTACACAATGCCTTGCAATGTGAATCTGGCAGATGTAATGACAATATTACAGTCTTCCCACACATGGTAAGTATACAAATACAACATTTGAAAATGTTGATAAAGTATTTTTTTACTTGCTTTAACTTAAAGATTAGCCTTTCAGATGTTTCATATGTTGATAAAATACGATTTAAATAACACCACAAAGAGAAGTAATGGTCATCTGAACATTTTGTACCCACATCAGGTTCTAGCAGAGCTGAAGAAGTCCAACTTTACACTTTTAAATGAGAGCATTCGGTTTGATGAGAATGGTGACCCTAACTACGGATCATATTCTGTCGTTTTCTGGAACCACAGTGGTGATGCAGAGGAGATTGGCTTTTTTACATTTTACCCATCAGTCCATTTCTTCATCAACAATAGCAACATTCAGTGGTATGCAAATGTGGAGGTAAGTTGTTTTTTATTAATCTGAATAAAACCACATTGCGTTGCAGTGAAGTCTACATATACAGTGTCTAATATGGTGGTTCAATTGAACAAAACCTGTTTATGAATACAACAACAAAACGACTTTACTCTTTATTGCTTACCTTCAGTATTTTTTCTGCTCAACTAACATTTTATTTGTTGCTAAATATACTTCTGTAGGTGCCTACTTCCGTGTGTTCTTTAGAATGTCCTGTTGGATTTGCAAAATAGCAAGATGGAAATGACAAAAAATGCTGCTTCGATTGTGAAATCTGTCCAAATGGAACTTATGTGAACATCACAGGTAAATTATAATGAAGATCATTAATTAAAGCAGTACTGTTATTCAAGCTTCAAAGTAAAATATTGGCTTCCATTTCCACTGTGACGACTGAATATGCCAATTAATGCATAACATATTGAGTGAACGACTGCTATGAAATAAACATTTTGGAAAATGGTTCACAATGTTTTTGTTTTTATTTAGCAGCATTGGGAACAAGTGTTGATTCATTATGCAATACATTGCAATCTAGGTAAATGTAGAACATAATTAAACTGGAACTACTTTTAAAATAAATATGAAAGATAAGAATTGCAACACTACTTCATCTGCTGTCTGACTTTTTAACATTTTTTTCAGCATACCTTTATTAACAATTTGCTTCATGTGAAAACAGAGGATGCCTACAGGTGCATCGACTGTAAGGAGACAGAATGGTCTGCAGCAGGAAGTACATCATGCAACCTGCGGTCGGTGGAGTACATCCCGTTCACAGACACCGGGGCTATACTGATCATGGTGGGGGCCTGGGCCTTGGTGGGCTTCACACTCGCTGTATCTGTTCTCTTTGCCATCAACTACAACACACCTGTTGTCAGATCTGCTGGGGGACCAATGTGCTTCCTCATTTTAGTCTGCCTCAGTCTGTGTAGTATAAGTGTGTTCTTTTACTTTGGTGAACCAACAACTTCCTTCTGTATCCTGAGGTTTTTACCATTTCTCTTGTTCTAGCCAAGCCGCCAAGTTCCCCAAACTCCACAGTTGGTGGATCAAGTATCATGGACAATGGCTGGTCATCACTGTGGCATTTGGTATTCAGGCACTCTTACTTCTTATTGGCTCTACGTGTTGCCCTCCTGACACCTTCAAGGAAACAGTTTGGTACCCAGACAAAATCATACTTGGTTGTGACCTTGACCTCAAACTTTAGCCACCTCTGGTCCTGTGCTTTTCCTCTTGTCTTTGTGCTTCCTTTGCTTTATTTTCTCCTACATGGGAAAATTACAACGAGGCCAAAGCAATAACCTTCTGTCTGCTCCTGCTGATCCTCACCTGGATCATCTTTGCTACTACATATGTGCTTTACCATGGAAAGTACATCCCAATACTGAACGCTCTGGCCATACTGTCCAGTCTCTACTCCTTTCTCTTGTGGTACTTCATCCCAAAATGCTACATCATCATTTTTCAATCTGACAGAAACACACATGAGTACTTCCAAAGACTCATTCAGAATTATACCAAAACAATCAGCCAGTAGCAGCATATATAGCATGTGTCTCCAAAGATAGAAAACTGATGTGGCCTTCAACTCATTATTTGCTTTTTAGTGTGCATTGCTATGTCAATAACCCAAGCCTTGAAATGAGCTAAAACAAGAGGTCATTTCAGATATACAATATTCCCCATTCATAAACAGAGGCTTTTTCTTAAGATTATGTAGACTTTTGTGTTTGGATTATGCCTTTGATGGTGAATTCCCTCCTGTGATACCAAGATAAGGTATATTTAGAGATACCAAACTGTGCATGTCTCATTGAAAGATTAAAAAAACAATTTAAAAAATATTTGTATTAGTTTACTTGCAGAAAGTGAAAAGATCAATACTACAATAGATCAATAATAATATATTGTGTACACAATGCTTTCTTTGTGCTAATTCTCATTATGTTATATTATTTAACAGCTTCATGACATTAAATTGTAAATAACATAAAAAGTTAATTAATCAATTAAATGGATTCAATAAAAGATATACAATGTATTGTTTGTTTTCTGATTTTTCACTTATCTCACCACATGATGGCATCACTTAAACAAGCTACTGCTAGACCTGAAATGTACCTTGTATGGTTTAAGTTTCCTCAAATTATAGTAATCAAATAGATTTACAATTTTAGTTTTAAATAGTAAGCTTTAAATTAGGATGTAATTTTAAGTAATGATTAGCTCATTTTCTAAGTTGGATTGCAATTTTCTGAGAGTTTCTTTCGTCAGTCTCTTAATAGAGTAAAAATGTATTTTCAGAAAATATGTTTGGTCAGGAAAATGTATTTAGTATTAAGACGGACTGACAGAGACAAAGAAAATACCACTACATAAAAACATACTTCATCTCTCCATACCAGGAAACAACATTTTAAAATAATATCCACAGTGTAGATAAAGCATATGCCTGCTTGCATCAAACACTAATGTGAAATGTCGTATACACCTCATGCACCTTCTGATACACTGCAATTATAAGTATCGATTGTGAAAACTATTTAGAATAATGTGATTTACAAGCAATTGGTACATTTACCACTTAACTGTTTATCAGACAGAATTATTGGTCTTAATGTAAAGTTATTAATAATATATACAATTTACAAGTCATTTCGGTTTAACAATCCCGGTCCATGGTTTTGTGGCATTTTACTGCACATTGTACTTATATAACGAATAAAGATTGATTTAATTTGACTTACTAGAACAAAGGAGATCTGTGCTTCTGCTCGGAGGAATTCAAATCGAGTCCTGAACATTTATCATGCTAATCTGCATAGCCATTGAACATTTTCCTATTTTATTCCTTGTGGTCTTATGTTCAATCATGCAGGGATGACTTGTAAGAGGAGGTGGTAATTTAGCATAAACCAAAGACACTTGGTTGAATTAAATTAATTTGTGTGTATTTGCTTATGATAAACTTGTGTGATCAATGTCATCTGTGAAAATTATAAACTTGCTTTTTACATTGAACATTTTAGTTTGCTGTACCTGATTGATTGAATATAATGTTGCGTTATCCCTCTCAGTCAATTTACTTGGTGCAACACACAAAGTATGGGATATTAAGCCACTCGCATGTCATGAAAATAATTATTTTCTCCTCAAATAGGCCGTTAACCTTTGGTGATGCATCTTAAGGCCCTGGGTCTACACACAACTCAATCACCTAAGTCATCCCTCAGTTCTTACACTTAATCTCATTAAGAACAATTCATCTGGTTCATCAGCTAGTTCCTCTCCATGAACCATCCCCTTATTGTGGTGGGTAGGTTTGTGTGTCCCTATAACCTGGGGGCTGTGTTGTCTGGAACATTGTGTTCCAGGTAGGGTCTGCTATGGCAAATTGGTGTCAGGCTATGGGCTGGACAAAGAATGGCTCAAGAAAAACTTCCCGTGAAGGATCATGGCATGGTAGAAAAGAATAAAAGTTACCCAGCCCGGAGGAAGATAGGGTCCCCATCTTTAGCAAGGCCCATCAGCTAGCGCCTGGTGGCCTGGCTTGCCAGGCCCAAACACCACAGGGCCACCATCGCTGGAAGAACCAATGGGGAAAGGAGCACTGTCAGCAGGGTGGCAGTGAAGGCCGAGTGTCTCAACGGACCAGACCCGCGTGTTGGAGGATTGTTTTGAAGATGTGGCTCTTCACCTCTGCGGTAGATGGAGTCAGAGCCTTTGGGGTAGGTGGGGCGTTACCGGTTGGATCTGGTTGGGCTCAAACCTACATACAGCCTCAGTGCTGGAACCCTACTCCTGGGAAACTCTGACTGTTGTGTATTTGGTCTTCAATTTGCTGAATGGCTTGAACGCACGTGACACAACAGATTATTGGAAGGGCGTGATCAGGAGGAATGGCCTCCTTGATCTGACCCGAGCAGTGTCTTGTTATTGGACTTGTGATTGTCAAGGGTTGGCCATAAAAAAACACAACCATCGGCAATGTTGGGTTTAACGCGTTACAAAAGTAACAGAGTTATAGTAATGTATAACTTTTTGCTGTAACGCAGTAATGTAATGCATTACTAATTAAATTTGGGTAATATAATACCTATTACAATTCTCAGTTACAACACATTTTAACCCGAAAGGAAGTGGTGTTTTGTTTTTTAAGAATTCACCAACATCGCGAGACATTCTGACACCAGAGAAAACAATTTCTATATGCCTGGTTGATTACATTACATTACATTTAGCTGACACTTTTATCCAAAGCGACTTACAATAAGTGCATGTGAAGGCCCCAGAGCCTGTGTGCAGGTGGGTTACAGGTCTTACGGTGGGGTGGAGCTGAAGAGGCCAATCAGCGCGATCGCGGACACCTGGCCGGAGCCGAGGTGCTATTAAGCCCAGCTGCCCGGAGTCACATGGCGGCCCTGACTCTCTCCAAGCCGGCCGCAGGAGGAGTAACACGGCGATCCTCTCCCCTCGTCCATCCGTCTTGTGCATTACACTGAACAACCGCAATAAATGTGCCGTGCAGTGAATTGGAAATGGGGGACCCTGATGTAAACAAGACGAAAGTCTTTCTCTGGTCTGCATCCCCTTAACAATTGTATGTTTTGAGCTGTACTGTACTGTACCCAATATACAAGCTGTTAATAAACTTTTCAATCAATCAATCAATCAAACCGTGGCTTTTGGAAACTCGTGTACGTCTTGTTATCTTTCCGTTGTGGCCTACGAGCCGGTCATAACAACTGGGGGCTCGTCTATCGTGAGTATGAACCGGGAGTTGGTTGGGTTGTTTTGGCGTTAGCTGTGCCTGAATTAGCCTGTGTTCGTGGCTAGTTGGTAGCCTGAGTTTTTTGAGGGGATTCCCTCTGAGGACAGTGATGTGTGTGGCCTTATATGGTGTTGTGGATGCACTCTACGGGTGTCTCGGCGTTATTTTGGAACGCGTATGGTCCCAGGTTTGTGGGATTTGATGAGATGTGTTTTTGTCCGATAGCGGTGATCTGTTCTCTTAAATATTCGCTGAAAAATAGGAGGTAGTGGTCCCGCCAGTGTATACAATACCTGTAGGAGTGTTTCCCCTGGTAGGTTCAAGAGGCGTTTCCCCTTTGGGTTTCGTCTGGGGGGGCTTTGATAGTGTTGAGGTACGGCGGTTAGAGCTTCACTTTCTCTTTTCCCTAAACCTGCTCGGGAGCACTTCCGTGGTTCAGGGGGGTTGCCGATTACCTGGTCGCCTCTCTCGGTCCAGCGGGCTTTAAGTGCATAAGTACCCACCGCTACGCCTCATGAAGACTAGGGGGGGGAGTTATGTAGTACGTTTGTGGTTAGGAAGTCAGCTAGCGGGGCTGCTCATTCCTACTGTGTGCACAGGCTAAGAAATTGCATTTCCTCTGTGTAAATAGCTATTATTGGGTAAATATGGAGGATATTGTGGGGGTGTTTGTTCTGAAGGTTTCTTGGATCAGTGCACCAAGGATCAATTGGTGAACATAGCTCAGTATTATGGGTTTGAAGTTGGCGATAAAAGAGTGAAAGGGTCGGTGAAAGCGAATTTGAGGGCTTGTTTGTTGAGAAGTAAAGTGTTTGATACTCCAGCACAATTTTAAAAGCAATTTATTTCTACTGATAATGCGTTTCGTGCCTGCAGCACGTCTTTTTCTCCGGTCGGGTCATGGAAGACCGGAAGCTGTGTGGTTCATAAAAACATGTTCTTACTCAATATCAAGCCACAATTATTGCTTTTATTTTAAATCGTATAATTTCGGACTTTTGTTGCCGTCTGTGAGGAAAATAAATGGGACTCAGAGCCTCAGAATACTGAAATCTGTATTTTTTAAATCTTTTTTTCCTTCTAATTTGTTATTCTTTTCAAAATAACACACTGTTATTTACTCACTAATAACACACAATTATCCTTGCTTTTATTTATTGGTTTAATTCCATAATCTCGGGCTTTTTTGTCGTCTGTCAGGAACTGAATTTCAAAATAAAAATAACCGGAAACAGACATAGGCATTTCGAGCGATTACCCAAGATCCTCAGCTATGGTTTAAGCTCGCTGATTGGATGTTTTAGCCGCAATGCATGCTGGGATTTGGTGTTTATATGATATGAAATCCGGAAAACATTTAAAAAGAATACTTAATTCCGAGTGTTCTTACTTTTCTCTTTGAAAGTCATCACATAACGGCATTGTAATACACGGTTCGGCTGCATTACATATTACAGATCTGCCGTAGTTCTTTATTTATAGATCCCTGATGAGAAGACCTTTGGAAAAACTGGAAGAAATGCCGCCGAAACTGAATACTTGACGTGGGGTAATAGGTTATATTTACATCATAACGGTGCACAGCTGATATAAAAGGACTTGTAGTTTTTAAAGATTACTGATTTTCTTTGAATATAAGAATGTAAATACTGAGTCTGAATTAGTATGGCAATATGCTGTAAAATTATGTGAAAGCATGAATAAAACTACACATCTTCAGATGTTGTACATACATAAGTGTCCTACACTAATAATACAAAGTTATT